CTCCCCCGCAGCCAGCTCCACCTGATGGGTGCCCCGCACACCAATTGGGGGTGGGGCTGGCCAGCCCACTGCTCACAGCCCCTCCCCACAGCCGGCCCTGCCCCCAATCAGCCCCTCGACCCCAATGTGGGGCGGTGCCTGTCGGCCGCTCACCCTCACCCTCGGCCCCTTCCCCCAGCCAGCCTGGTCCTGATCAAGCCCAGATAGGATTGGGCAGGCCAGCCAACCTCCTGCTGTCTCCTCCTCCCAACAGGCCCGGCCCTCATCCGCCCCAATTGGGGCTAGGCTGGCCGGACCCCACCCACGCATGAATTCGTGCACTGGGCCTCTAGTTACTCATTAAGCGCTCTGCTCCACAACTAGCACTGTCCTTCAAGCTTCTGTGCATCCACTACTGGGTTCTCACAACAACCCCATGGAAAGAGCTATTACACACAGCTCATTTAAGCAAGAAGACTCCCTTTCCCCAGAAGTTACATTAACTTGTTCAACTGCACATAAGTCAATGAAAAGCATTTTTATTCTAATTAAGAAGTGGTCTCCCCCACCACCCTCAAGTCTACGATACCACCCAACTGGTTATATTAGTGTATAAAAGCAATCTTTTTTTCAAAAGTGAATGGTAAGAATTGAAGAATTGCTTAACTTTCACCTAAAGTGATTTCAACCTCTCACATCTTGAAATTCCCTTTCTTTGCCATCCCATGAAACATCTACCCAGCACTCACACCATTTTACAACTAGTCTCTAATGACCATCATTCAATGTCTCAATCTGGTTTTTTTTTCCCCTTCACCTAACCCTTAAAAAGGAGAAACATATAACTGCATATCTAATATAATTAGGATGAGTTAAGCATGTAACTCACTACGTTTAAATTCTTTTAAAGTTCAAGATTCTGTACTCTACTGGCAATGCTGTACCAAGTCCTGTTAAAGAATTGTCTTTTCCTCCCACAACTTCAATTCTGCCTTTCAATTAGCACTGCAGACTGATCTACATGGAACCTGAATTTTCACTCAGTCCCAATCCTAATTAACTCATCTGCACAACTCTTGTTTGCCTCAAATTCAGTTCCCATATTCACGGGAGCGACGCTGCCAAACCTGAGAGGTCATTTCACAGCTGTGCAGTCTTCAGTGGCTCAGAGACAGGGGAGAAGGCCACCTGTCCTTGCCGTCTCTCCCAGCCGCCTATAAGCCATCTGGCTCCAAAGTGCTTTTTCCAGTCTTGCCTCCTTAAACACCACCCACTAACCTCTCCTCCCTGTGCTGTTAGTCGTTGATTCAGGTCTAGACATTAGGGTTATAAAGTCCTACGGGTGGGCAGCCTTACTCATCCTTGTATTCCACACAAACACCCCTGCAAAAAAAGTCAACCCCTCAAAACTCTGCAGAGTGAACCTTTTATAAGAAACACATCTTTAACTGATCTGATTTTTAAAGGACATGCTTTCAATTTCAGAGTACACGGAGCTAGAGCTTTTTCATAGTTGAGAAGAGAAATACTGAAGAGCTGTTGCCATAAGCATTAGGAAGGCACAGCATAGGGGACAATTCAGGTAAGAAGCACTTCCCAAGAGTGTTTTACCCATATGCTCAGCAACAATCAAGGTATAGTTACATAGAAGCTAAACTGGCAGAAACTGAGGCATTTCAATTATGTGCATTATGGAATTTTTAATGCATACACAAAATTGACAGTAAAGATAACATTAAACCATCTGTACATTTCGGCACATATAAAACAGTGTAATATTTTTTATGGAGTATCATTGTTCAACTCAGCATGTAATGACGAGGCAGTGGTAATAAACGGGATGTAGAAAAATGACCTGGGCTCCCAACTCCTTTCTGAAGGGGATTCCGTATCAGCAACTCTCTCTCCTATCCACTCCCACAACCAGAAAGGCCACTGGCTTCCTCTGAACGCATGTACTGAGCACACACTTTGTGGCAAGGTACACAGTGATGACGACAGGTATGACCTCAGGGAGTTCACAATCGAGAGAGAAAACCGTAATACCCACGGGTCCGTGTGCTGGCAGCACTACTACAAATGGAAAGCATGGTGGCAGGTGTAGAGATGATAGTGAAACTAAGACCAGATCAATGAATACGAGGCAGCCAGGTGAGGGGAAGTAGTTTTCCCAACACGGATGCAAGGTCTGAGTGAAGGTGGGCTGAGACTTGGGGGAGTGCGGGGGAGACACTGAAACATTGTCCCCACTGCCAATAGAGTGAGCAAACGAACTCTGGTCATAAAGCAGATCATGAATTTCCAGAGTTTCAGTGAAGCAGGTGTGTGACTGAGATAAATTCAGCGATTAGTCTTTTCCATTGTCACAAAAGAGGGCTCTGTCCTGTCAGTCTGTAGATGTTGTTACTAAGAGACAGGTTCTGCTTTAGTGAACCCATACACTCCCGCACAGAGAACCACACTTAAGAGACTTTTTGGGGTGACATACCCTGATTGTGTAGGGGTATCAGCTGTGGTGCAGGGGGAGGGGGAGGCTGTGGTAATGGAGCTGGCTGAGGAGTCACAGGACTGAGCACAGCAGTAAATAAGTCTTCAACATCCTTTCCTCCAAGCTCTAGAAAATACAATTATAATGATAATATGATTAAAAGTCTATGAGAGCCATATAGGGAATGCCACTTTTGGAAACTAAAAAATACAAACACAATTACCTGGAATTTTATATAACTTTCCAAGAATCGCTCCTAGGATAGATTAAAGAAATAGAAATATTAATAATTACCATTTTAATGTACTAATACAAAATAGCATTTCATAGAAATCTTCAAAATAGAAGTTAAAATTGTAAATAAGCATGCAGAAATCTTTGAAAGTCATATTTACTCATGTCTTTTAGAAAGCCTAGCTGTAGGGCAAATATTTTACCATCTGTGACCATTTTGTCTAGTTCAGGACTAAGGATTCCATCCAGCTGCTCCTCACTTAAAGGTCGTGAACTCTGACTGACACTTGGCTGAGACACAGAGGAAGGGTCATCGGCGACAGGGCCAATATCTATTCCGGCTGGAGGAACAAGGCAAAGAAATTAAAAAGTGAATTCTGAATACATACACAAAATGCATTTCACTATTTACCTGCATGATACACAACAGTATGATTAAAATTGAGCAATGAAAAGTCTGAAATTCTGAATAAATCAAGATTCTTATATCAATCTGGATAGTCAAAATTAGTAAAAATTAGGCACAATGTATTTGTAAACTGGTGCCACTTTAAGTTATAGTTTAATCAAAATAAATATATTTTCCGATTAATAAAGAAACACTTCTGGTTGTAAAGTGCTAATTTCTACAGAAAATAAGTTAGGAGTCTAAGAAAATATTCTATATGCAATATCCACTACACAAATAATAGCTTTAACTTGGAAATGGTAGTTCCTAATGCATAGTTTAACTATCATATTCAAGTATGTGAAACAGGAGGAATACGTTTCACATAAAATTAATGATGAGCTCTAAAATTCTTATTCAGTGTTTAGTAAACACTACCCTTGTAAATAATTTCAGTTGTAGATCGAATTTTGAAATATTCTATGGTCAAAATACAAAATATAGATTGTGTTTATTACATAACATGTTCTATCTCATAAAAACTGGTTTTTAAAGCAATATCTACATTTAAAAGTACTCTATCATCTAATTTCTTTACCATGCTTTCTCAATATTACTATTTCATAAAGTAAAATTTAGTCTGCTCTTATTTTATTTTATATTAGAAATTCTATAACATTTGGGTAAAATTATAAATTACACAGTAACAAAAATAAAACCATTCATTAAAAAAAAATTACTGAGAAAATCACCCAAAGCACAGTACAGCTGTACCATGCTTTAGCTGCACGCATAAAGGGGAAAGCAAAGGTGGATTAGTGACAAATTAGCACTATCACAAATACGCATGCACCTACAGGCTGTGGCAGCGGAAATCACTATAAAAAAGACTACTCTAGTCAGCCACCATCCACTGCTCATGTTCTTACCAAATGGAAAAGGTGAGTTGTCAACCTGGAAAGTGCATAAATCAAGACCTACAAGACCCAAACCAAATAAAATGGATGATTATCACAGGAGCGGAGGCAAGGGACAACACAAACAAAAGAACAAGACACAGGAGCCTTGAATGCCATAAGCCTTCAATGTGATGCCATCAGAAAGACAAAAGAAATTAACTAACTTGCTGCAGGGAAGTTGAGGTAGATCAAATTATATAATTGAGGTCTTTGATAATGACCCCCCCAAAAAAATTTTTTTTTAAGTTTTAGAGAAAAGACTAAACTTCTTCCACACACATGCACCTCTCTGTCATGCCCTAAAACAGACACTAGGCAAACAGCATTCAATATACCTGAATGATCAACTGATTTTGCAAGATCATCTGAAATTATTCCAAGAATGTCATCCTCTGTGTTTAGGACTTCGGATATATCAGCTAAGGTGTCATCAGCAGTACCTAAATACAGGAAGTGTATTTTCAATGTCTTGACATTTTCCCAGACATTAAATTCTAAAACACCCTGCCTCATCCTACCATTTACTACACATCCCGAGTACCGCAGATGCTGAGTAAGTGCGAGAATCACAGAACATTAAGATTGTTACTTCTAAAATAAAAGACTTTTTCATAGAAAAGATACTCCAATGTTTTGAATAACAAAATATTAAAGATTAGGACCATTTTTATTTTGTGGCTAATTTAAAATTAAGGAAACAAAGATCTATAGGCAATAAAAGTGAAATAAACTACTATAAGAAACAAAGCAAAAAAAATCACTAAGGAAGTGACATCTCTAAAAATGACATCTGAAAAATAAAACACAGAAGATAAATAAGATATGAAAGGCAAACCCATTATTTAAAAATTCCCTGTTTAAACCAGATACCATCTGGTTCCAGCCTACCCCCCATCCCAACCTAACACTGATAATTCATTCCTTTCTTTATTCATTGAATTCCAACAGAACTGGGGTTTCGGACTGTGTGAATAGACATGTTCCAGCCACTGAGAATACAGAATTGTATAAAACCAAGTACATTCCCTCACAGAGCTTACTTTCTCTGAGGGAGTTAGACAATAAATTACATCAGTATAAGTGCCATAAAGACTTTAAAAATAAGGAGACAGAACTAAGACTCAGATGTGGGGGTGCTGTATTAACTGGTCAGTAAAGACCTTTTAAAGGACATGATCACACATGTCCAAATGTGTGTAAATGAAAAAAAAAAGGAGACATTAAGACCAGAGCAGGTAAGGTTTTGCCAACAGAGGGAGCCAGTGTGCTTGTCATAAGAAAGAGAGCTAAGCAAAGGTATGTGTGGTTTTACAGGTCACAGTGAAGACCGAGCTTTACTCTCAAATCTGATATGTAACGGGAAGTTGCTGGAAGGCTGGGGGCCAGGAGATATGAAGTGGGTGGCTGCGGGGCCTACTCTGAAGACAGAGACGACTGTGTGGGTGTATTAGAGATAGAATGGGAGTAAATAAAAAATCAAGGGTGACTCCAAAGGTTTCTCACCTAACAAGGAGAAAAACACTTAGGCTATCTTTAGTAATTCTATTAGTCATTTAAGTTAGAGCACATGATTTTTTAAACCAAATGGGACAAATAGTTTTGTCACATTAAAAGCATACTTCCCAAATAGAATTCATATATACATGAGAATTTCTCAAAGTGAAAGAAAATATAAATTTTGTATGCCCAAATATTCATAAATTTATAAGAGAAATAAAATTATTTCAATAATATATTCTCTAGACAACAGTACACTTGAAAAAAAACTTTTGGATAATTCCTTCAGGAGTCATTTAATGTGAGTGACTGTATTTGTTTTAGACCAACGGAATTCTATACACAAATCATAACAAACACTTTTTACAAGGCCATGTTTTAAAAGTCTGCCCCTACCTAAACAGATTTTATATCATACCAGCAAATTATTAAAATTGATTTCATGGACTGTATTAAATTAAATTTTTAAAAAAGTGAAAGCCATTATTTGTAAATTTCCCATTATAAAGACAAAGAGTGATTCAACTGCAAAGAATATTACATTTCATCTAAGTTTTGGAACATTTATCTTATTCTAGTCCTCATGTTTGGTTTTATCATTAAACCATTTCTCTTCAGCAGTTTTGTGGAAAAAACAACTTCAAATAAAGGAGAGAGGAAAAAGAACAAGTGGTAACGTTTTTCCTGTCACAATACAGCTTCTGTCCAATTTGTTCTCTTCTCCACAAAAACTCAAGTGCAAATAACTTCTGTTTAAGTCTTTTAATCCCTAGTCATGATTTTTACAGTAAGACATAACTCTCATAGTTAGGGTATCCTTGTAAGGACCCACAGATTTTTCACTACACGTTATTTTAACAACACATTCACATGGAGAAGAGCAGGTCAGTACTTAAAACAACAGAATGAAAGTAAAAGTAAAAATAATCTGCTAAAATCAATGAACAAAAGCATGGCCTTCAGTACACCAGTGGGAGAGACAGGACGTGTGCATGCATACAGAGGGGCTGAGATGCTTCTATAATTCAGTCAAGAAAAGTTACAACCAAAATACAAAAGCCTGCATTTTGATCCAGGACAATGCCAAGTTAATAAAGCTGTAATGACTTAATGTACCAAGTGGTCTTTCAGTGCAAGACTGCCTTAAGAGTATTTTCCAAATTGAGTTTATAAAACTAACTGAGCAACAAATGTAATCAATGGCAAAAAGGAAGCTTGTCAGAAGAACATTAATTTATAATTGTTGGTAAGATAAAAAATCCAGGGGGATACCTCTGAGCATCATGACATCATGGAACAGAGATGTTGGCAAGTAATCCCCACTGAACAGGACCACCTCCCTTCTCCAACAAAGACTGCTCTGGCCCAAGCTGTCAGCAGTCAGAAATGACCTAACGCTATGGGTTTCACTGATTAACAGTCTGGAAACCAGGTCTCTAACATAGCATTCTTGTCTTCTCCTGAATTTCTCTGGGCTGTGTAATTAACAAAAACCTATCTTACTTAAATCAAAGATTATTATATTTATAACTCATGGCCAAATTACACCCCCTTACATTTACCCTCAGCAAAGTGTAAACCTAACATTTTCCTTTGCAACTTCTTGATTTTGGTGGTAGTTACACAGATAAATTCATTTCCCAGATGTTATACACCTGCCCACTTAAAAAACAGTTACACTTACTAAATATGTCACACCTCAATAAAGATTATTAAAAAACTGTATATAAGGCCAAACCAAAGCATTTCAGAGGTATAACTAAAAGGAAGATAATGTCACATGAAAAAAATTCCACATACCATGAGTTCCAGGTTTTGCTGGAGTTGAGGATGAACTAAGTAGTGGGTCTAAGGAAGGATCCAGGAAATGTGTGTTCACGTTTGCTTTATATGAAAGCTGAGCTGTGTCTTCTGATAGAATATCTAAATTTAGCTTGTTTTGTCTGCTTGTATCTAGAAGATCTTTTCCAAAGAAAGCTTCCTAGATAAAATAAAGCACATATGAAAATGACTGACTTATTTATAAAATTCTAACATGACAATAGATAATTCCGTTACCCTTTTGGACAAGAAGGCAGAAATAACAGACAAGCTTGGTATTTAACAACATAAAAATTGAATACAGAAATATATAAATGACAAAGAAATATCCTGTCAATTCTTTTATATAGATTTCCCTTATTTTAAAAGTACAATTTTCTGCAGCTTTATTAGAGATAAATAAAATTATGCAAACAGCAGCACACAATTTTGTCCAATGTGTTCTAGTGACAGCAGTATAATCATTCAATAATGCCAGATTTAGGCTACAATTAAATTTAAAGATTGATAAATTTACAATACTATTGGCACCTAATTTGTAAAAGAGAAACTCAAGCTTCATGAATATTATTATTATTAGAGGTTACTTGCAGAGGATAGCACAGGGTCTGATCTACACTGTTAATATGTGCAAACTTCAGATTAATAACCTCATGCTGATTCATGAACACATTAAAGACTGAATACATTATAGATCGGAAAGGGATTTTTGTAGCCATTTTAATCTTACTATGTACACAAAATTTATTTCTCTTAAAAGGCTTTTAGCTTTTTCTTTACTCCTCTGACACTTCTCCATTTCAATATACATTCTCTAAAGACCAAGGTTTCATATTGGGTTCTTTACAACACAGTATAGCTACAGAACTTCTGAAGGACCAATCAAAAGGACAAAAGAAAACACTGAGGACCACCGCCCTGCCGCCCCTCACTTACTTTAACCCAGCAAGTCTGCTGTGGCCTATTTTTTACAATGTGGTCTACCTGGAAAAGGGGTCCTCTGTACAGGACACTTAGGTAGTACTTGTCAACATTTCACACATTCTTGCTAAAGATGCATACACACAAAAAAGTTCACTGCAGCATTTTTAATAGCAAAAAAGTGAAAACTGCCTGATGTCTGTCAAAAGGCACATGACTAAATAAATTATAGACACCCACACAACAGCAATTGCTAAAAAAGATATTGTCATGCTGTCAAAGGAAAGTTCTAAAATACAGTATTAAAAGAAAAGCAAATTGATTGGTATGTCCAGCTAACCATAAAATACAAACCAAGACTATTAGGACTGTATAAAAATCCTATCTAATAAAGAGGGAACATGCTAATTGACCCTCACACCATTGCAACGATGGTAGCACCCACAGCCAATAAGGAGGGAATATGCTAATTGACTACCATGTCCTCAAAGATGGCAGCGCCCACAGCCACAAGATGGCAGTGCTCAGTCACCTCAGCCCTGCTGGGGCAGGGGCCACCCGAGGCTCAGGCAACCAGGGCTGGCCGAGGCTTGCACTGCCAGCAGTGGTAGCAGCAGAGGTGTGATGGGGCGTCTCCTTCCCCTGATCGCTGGGTTGCCTCCTGCCCCTGAGGGTTCCTGGACTGCGAGAGGGGGCAGGCCGGGGTGAGGGACCACTCCTCCAATGCATGAATTTTCATGCACCGGGCTTCTAGTAAACTATACAAGAAGTTATGACCGGACAAACACCAGAGTATTAACAATACTAAGTGGATGGAAAAGGGATGGGTGTGGGGGAGAGTCTGGTTGAGGTGATAGTATATTTGATTCAAATTTCTGCACATTTTTTCAATGAACGAGTTTTTTCACTATGAAAAAAAAATTGAAAATCCATAAAGCTAGGTCACTGGGTAGCAGATAGGTTTGTTCTCAAACCAAAATTGTTGTGCTCACTTCAGCAGCACATATACTTAAAAAAAAAAAATGTTTATATCAGTAGGAAAAATGCTGAGTGGCAGGAAGCACGTTAGAGTTTTAGAGTTAATTTATTTAATGACTTCAGTATAAATCTGAGAAATCTGAGACCATATTAGCAAAACTTTTTCTTTAAGTGACTCAAGATGACATGGGTTTTCCAGGTCACATGGCACCACAGCTACTTAGTTGTCTGCATAAATATTTCTAATGGATAGAACATACAATTATGTATATTTTACTGTGACAGTGTTGTAAATAATAAAATTAAATTGGCCCAGCCGGTGTGGCTCAGTTGTTGAGTGTCAATCGATGAACCAGAAGGTCACGGTTCGATTCCCAGTCAAGGCACATGCCCAGGTTGCAGGCTCGATCCCCAGTGTGGGGTGTCCAAGAGGCAGTCGATCAATGATTCTCTCTCATCACTGATGTTTCTCTCTCTCCCTCTCCCTTTGTCTCTGAAATCAATAAAAAAATATTTAAAATTGGGGAAAAAAATTGTTACTGAATTCCTAGTGGGTTTTTGACACTATGTATTCTGCCCACCCACCTTGGATGAGGGGGAAATACAACTGCTATCACAAGATGTTCAAGAAACAGTACCATTACAAAGGCTTCCTTCACTCCTTCACATACAAAAACACAAAACAATTAGCTATTACTATGTGTACCGGAGTCAGTACACTGGTCACCAGAGGAAACTCAGCTCAGCAGATGAAG